TTATATACAGGATGCTGCGATGACTCAGTTGCTAGGGTAATGACTCGGATTTGAAATGCGTTTGAAGACGAGGAAGCTTTAGGCGCATAGAAATGAAAGGATTTAATTGGTGTAGGGTGGATTTATGAATTTTCAACGACATTTGCGCTATGACGTCATAGGTGATTTTCTCTGTAGTTTAGAGATTTTTTCAATGGAATTGTATATTTGCAACAAGCTTTAAAATATATTGTGGAGCCAGTACAAGTGTACACGACGTCTAGACATGTCAGTATGTTTGTGTAAACTCAGAGTGAATACATCGTAAACTGGAATACAAGTTAATTGAAATTTAGTACGAGGTACATTCTTGTTAAAAAAAAATGTACTTATAGTTAAAAAATATTTTTAAATTAATTCAAGTGTAAATTAATTGAAATAATAATACTAATGACTACCTATATTGGTTCTTTTTATAAATATATATAGGATCTTTCATATTCAATATAATAATATTTGTTGAATATTACTTCAATATAACTTTTAAACAGTAATCAATATTAGTATACTTTCTGAACATCCTGTATTGTTGCGCACGCGCATGACTCACTCGATCGTCAAACACTCTCACGACAGAGTAAAATTTAAAAAATTGTATTAGTTAAAGATGATTTTTGTGACCGTTTTAATAAATTATGACTGTCATGTGTTTATAAAATATCTTAGTTTAGTTTGCTCCATTTATAGTCTTTATGTATAATACAAGATTACCTAAATAAACTTGACAAACATACAGGGCACTTAAACATGGAAATCAGAAACGAAATCTTTGATATTTGCAAAGAATGAATGTAAAATATTTTACTACTGCAAAAAGAAACAAGTAATTTTAGTATACTAATTATAAATTAATTATAATGTACATGTTTTTTTTTATATACCCGGAATCTTAAAGAGAGGCTTTGTGTGGAGAAATAAAATACATAAGATATGTCCTCTAAAGCATGTTATTCTATAAGAAAAATTGTATAAATCTAAATTAATTGTTTATAATTTTTTACGTGATTTCATAGAGATACATATATTTATGTTATCTAAGCATACAGAATTAATTAAATAGCTAAGCACTAATTGAGGTGGACATGTGTCGGCGACACTTGTTCAAACACCGCTCCATTTGTATGTCATGATATATTTGTATAGGAAACTGATAGTATGGACCGACAATTTTAAGTTTAAAGTCAATACACAATATATACAAATGCTCAGATACTTTTTGTTTTATATTAGAAAACATTAAGAAATCAGTTTAGATGAAAAGTGAATTCGACTATAGGCATATTATAATTTACGACTGCAAATTTTCTGAAACAAAATTAAAAGTTAAATAATTTTCAAATCTATGATGTTAAACTTACTAAAAAAAATCAAGTTTCCCATCAAGTTACATTAATTTGGAAAAATATTAAGATTAGGTTGCTATTTATTACTACATATTATAATCTATATTTAAAATGAATTGAAGCCTTTTATTTCCTAATAAGGTACTTTTCTTTATGTGGTTTCTAACCTTTGCATAACTTAACAAAATCTATTAGTAAGTGAATAAATTATTATGACTGTATAACTATCATACTAAGTAATATTTTAAACAGTTTTTGGTATTCTAATTATTTTACACGAAACCCTCTTTCAGCCTCTTCCAGCTTTTGTCTGTTTCCTCTATTTTAAGATATCCGCTGCATTTGGGGCCATCTATTTTTTTTAAATCTTATTCTCAGCGTGAGAAAGTTCGTCCTCTACAGCGTTTTCCATCAGGTCCTTTCCAAGTTGTAATTTTGTGTGTCCATTTGTCGTCTTTGAGCCTCGCGACATACCCAGCCCATTGACATAAGATCCAGAACAAAAACAATAGATGCAATAAACCACTACAATATTAATCCCAAATAAAATATCACGACTTTAATATTTTAAAAAAATATATGTAATTTTATTAACTATTATAAAACCTAAATAAATATTTTACGTTGTTAAATACCATAATTATATTATTATGCCTTTTTTGTTAGGAGGTCAAAAATATGTATGATATAAAATATAAATACAATTTCACATTTCCTCTCGAAATGTACATACGTTATAAGTGAATCATACCGGCTTATGCAATAGTAAGTATGTTTGCTTATTGCTCATAAACTAGCTACAACTATTGAGGATACGTGAGAAAATTATATAATTGTTGACAATAGTATCATATTTTTGAAGTCACTTGGAAGAAAAGAAAAGGAAAATAGTTGAAGTATTGATATACTCGTAGTTTATCATTGACATCATAATGTTTAAGCATTTTCTGAATTTATTTTTTTTTTCTTGTTTATTAATTAATCTAATATTAAATACTTTTTTTATATCAATATCATAAATATGTTATTTTTTATTACTTCATATATAAACAAGTTTAAATAAATTGAAAGAGTAGTTTTCGTACAAATATTATAAAAGATACGGACAGTTAAACACTCAAAGACATAAGTAAAACTTTTCATAGTTTTATAATAAGGAAAAGAACCCAAAAAATATTCCAAGGTTCCACGTAAGGCTTTAACGCTCGAAACAGAGAACTTGCTCTGTTAATACTCAAGGCGTTTATACATATAATATTTATAAATGTAAAAAATACCTCACAATAGAAGTTCATTATTAGATCAACGTCATTCTTAAACCTGATAATGTAATATTAAATTAAATTAATAATTCAGATATTTTGAAGCTTGTATTGACTATAAATATGTTGTAATATGAATGTGTGTATATGAATAGAAACATAAATATCCTAGTTTTATCAGTAATAACATACGTTATCATATTCAATAGATAAGCGTATAATAAAGCCATTGTATGTGCAAATTTGAATAAATTAATATACAGCAGCCTCGGTTCATTACATAATTTTTGGTTAACAGTTACAATGATAGAATATATAAAACTCTTTTTAAATTTAAAATATTATAGTCCTGTTACTCTTTTGGACACTTTTTTAATACTATGTATAAACAAAACGAGCTAGAGGGTCATTTAACTAGGTATTCGGAATCTTAATACTTGGTAACTGCCTTTTAAGTGAAGCTGCATCTTTCAAATTAGTTGACATTTGAAAAGTCTGCTATGCCATAATATTATGGTTCGATTCAGTAATCACTAAACAGGTAATAAATAAAAAAAAAGTTTTATTAAAGTGATCATTCTGTTCGAGCAGCGTTCCGCTCGCTTAGATACTTTTCTGTCACCATAATCGCCCTACCTTGATGACTATTCGTTAAGTGGCAGATCAATCAATACCTGTTACAGCAATGTATAACTCAGAACTCAAGATATACCTAAAAACAAGAAGTAAGATTTCACCCCGTTAGACTATTTCTTGTGGTCTTTTTTTGAGACAGGTGAATGCGAATAAGCCACAAACCACATCGGTTCTTTAAGCCAAAACCATGCAATATTCAAATTGAATCTGAATTATAAACCACAGTCATGGAAAATTAGACATATCTTATTCGAAGTATAGAGAAAAGCCGAATAAAAACAGTCAAGAAATCATCGCATATAATAAATCATAAATCCTTGAATTTCCAGTTCGAAAATAAAAAATCATTATGTACTTTGTAATGACATCGAAATAGTCTGTTTCAATACTAAGGACTTATTTAATAACAATGGTTCAACGATGCCTGATCACATAGTTATATCTTGAAAATACATTAAAAAAATGTACTCGAACGGTGCAAGCAGACAGTGGCTTGTTATTAATGTGTAGTCGGTCTTCCTGAGCTATTAAATTATCATCAAAGACTACTGGAGCTGTAATTGCATGCTCTGGATCACTTCCAGTAAACGTTGCTGTGTGATTTGAATTCTGGTTGATTTTATTCCTTGTTATCAATATATCTTCTGAGATGATATGATATTATGACAGCATTATAAATTAATCATTGAGGAAAAACAATATGGAGTATGAAAATCACTTAAGGTTGATAATTGATATATAACACTATTTTTCTTTTCTTTTACATTCTAAGCAAAACTAACATGTATTAGGTACACTTATGTATATGGGATGAAATAATCAAATTAAAGTATGAATTTTCCTTTGTGACAATTTATATAGGTAATTATTTAAAATTAAACCAATGGCATTGTACATTCAAATTGATGATATACATATGCAAAAAATTTCTAAGACCATATTTTGACAAACTAAAGTAACAATAAACATTTGAATCCTTTCAAAATTCCTGATAACGATACTTATTCTCGCGCATGGACCGTAACGTGTAAATTACCAATGTCAAAACCGCACTAATAATTACAATGATTGCGTACCAAACCAATATAATCTTCAGTCATTATCATCTTTATTCATATGCACATAGAGTCCATTTTATAAATTATGTGACAATAACAAGTGACACTGTATGTGGACCAAGGGAATGGAGACTGTTAATCGCATATCGCAAATGATGATCTCTTCTCGGAAATTGTTTTCTCTGTTGTTTTGCATGAGTTTGGTGTGTTATTCCGAGAAAAATGTAGACTAAGAAGATATTAAATAATATTTTCTACTTAAAAAGAAAAGTAATTTTATCTATGTAATGAATAATAAAATAAACAGGAGTCAATTCATGAATCGCTACTGTTATATTATAATGAGATGATGACATTGAAATATTTCGAACATTATCAAGCAGCATTACTAATTACTGAGTGGGTAGAGCTTACAAAAGAATTAATTATAATAAACGCTTCGTAACGCATCGCTCACGGTTTTCATCGTGTTTAAAATACAGAATAACGTCGTTATGACTCATTTACTACCAAAATTAACGCCAAATTAAAATGTTGACCCACTTTTTGACGGAAACTTTAGAAAGAGAAAGTCTGTAATTTTATGTATGATTTTATTTATCTTTTGTTTTTGATATTAAATTGACATAATTAAAATATGCTTAGTCACAATAACTTTTGCTTTAATAATAATCTAAACAGCATGGTTTCTTACAAGGTTTATAGCTGCCTTCGGAACACAGATAGGCACGAACTTTTTTCGCTAATGGACAGTCTAGTCTACCACAGGGACCATGGACGTCTCTTTTGTTTACAAATTGCCCATGTTGGTATTTACCCTTTATAGTTTCACCATGAATAAACTGATGCTGACTGCCCCGATAATCCATGCGTTTTGGACAATTTGTACCACCACATGGCCCTTTTGGGAAGCCCATAGCAAGGATAGCTAATTCACTAGCTGTATATGGTGCTACAAAATCATCGTATACCCGTGGTTGTTCAACTGGTCTTATAGGTTCTCTTATTATATCGGGAGCACCGAAAAAGTAGGCTACAGGTGGAACCGCATCTATGGTTGTACCGTCCCAGTGTCTCACTACTTCGACGTCTTTGAGTTTTAAATCATCTGATAAATACTTTCGCCCAGGCAGCCTTTCCATTTCGGGTAAAGCAACAAAATAACTTATGACCCTATTACCCATACATGTCAATCTTATAAAAAATTCAATTTCTCCAGACGCTTTCAAATCCTCTTCACATTGTAATGGTCGTGTTAATTCAACTGTATTAGTTATCATTTCTGGTCTAGATGTATCCCGATATTCAGCTTGGTCCATGTTAACTGGATTTAGTTCTCCTGATCTTTGAAGACAGTCAAAAAAGCTTTCATGCCATTCAACTATACAGAAACCAATACAATTCATTTCCTGATCTCTGTTCCATACTGTGATATAAATAGGAGTTTTCCTTAATACTTCTTCTAGCTTTGAAGGTCTGGATAGGAACATAATTGAATTACCAACACCAAAATACGGAGGTTGAGGTAAAGGTTCTGAGGGAAGAATAATCTTCTTAGGTGGAATTTTTCCTTTCTTCTTACCCTTTTTTGGTTTCGGAGGTTTTTTACCTTTCTTGCCTTTACCAGGAGGGGGTGGAGGTGGTGGGGCAATAAAATTATCGTGAGCTACATAAAAATCAAAAAGAGGCAAACAGTTCATTTGCAGAGTACATGTTTGCAAGAATTTCATTTCTTCTTCAGATGGTAGTGGGGGTTCTTTACCCTTCTTTCCCTTTCCCTTTTTCGCTTTCGCTGGCTTACCTTTCTTCTTTTTACCCTTCTGTGCAGCTTCTGCTGCAGCTAAAGCTTCAGCTTCTCGTCTTCTTTCCTCTTCTTCCATTTTCAGTTCATACTCATCTTTTTCTGGTGGTTCTATTTTTAGAACTATTTTCTTTACGAAAACCTCTATCATAAAAATCTGCTCCATTTTGTATACTGCGGAATTAAAAAAAATACTTTTAAAATATCAGACCTTTCTATAAACAATTGGCATTATTATTACACCTATGTATATTAAGCTAAATTCAATCAAAATATAAGCATAATAATATTTTAAAGTATATTGATTTTTACCATGACATAATATTATCTGGTAACAGAAAGAGCCTTGTCTACTATCTACAGGCACACTCATAAAATACAATGTATTACTACCGACCGATAACAACTATCCATTGTCTATTTTAATGTGTGATATAAAAAATACGTACAAAATACTGTTATCTTTTAATAAAACTCCAAAAATACAATCCAATTGGTTCCGAGAGAAAAGATTTCATATTTTATTTATACACTGGTAATTTGTTGTACGATGCATTCAAAATTATTTGATGGAAGTTACAAACTTTACAATTTATAAAAATTCTGCGGCCATACTGAAGTTTGTTTTGATTTAAAGTTGCTGTCAAATATGTTAGTGTCAAACAAAAAGGTCTGTTATGTCAAGTTTCATAAAAATGTAGACATAGATATAAACTTAGTTATTAAATAATAACATAATTTATTGGCATACAAAGCCTTACTTTGATATGCGAAAGGTTTATAACCACTGCAACAAGAAAACAAAACAAACATTGCGTCGTAGTCAGAGTTTATCGACGGGGTCGGGTTTACGCACGCGGGTAGCGTACAGGGGGAGGGGGGAAGCGGGGGGGGACAAATTGTTACAGATGTATAGACATCTAGATGAGTCTACCATAAATTTTGTTGGCTCTATCAAGGAACTCCTTGTCGCTTAACTCAAGACAATTCATTTTTAAACTCTTTTTTAATTTCTTTTGTTAGAAAAAATATCTCTTTAATCTTTATGTTATTGATGACCTACTTTAATTATTAGGTAAACAATGCATAGAAGCATACGTATTTTTTTTAATATTATATGAGAGAGCTTTAAAAATAAACAACACAAAGGGCCAGTCCAGTGAGATATATATCAACAATCCTGCGCACGAGCATATCCTCCGTCCCTCTCGCACGATGATATTTAAATTTAGAATCGCGTTGTACGTTATACGTTTTGCAGTTGACTAGATATATTTTATACCTACCTCCATACGGGTATTGCATTATTCAAACATAAAATCTTGTTCTTATGTCTATGCTATTATTATTTAACTGCAGGTAGAAATAATTAAAATAGCTATAATCATTATAATTTATAATAAAAAATACTATGTCGTTGATAGCTGTATTATACAGCGGTTATAGATAGTTTTAATAATATTGGTCCATTAAGACGTGGAGTTTGCGGTATAGTAGTGCAATTCTTTTATGCTTTGAAATAATTATTATACGTATAAAGTTTAAGACTTAAAGGAGAATGGCGGGAGATTAAGAAGTAAAATTTTTAGGTCTACAAATAACAGAAGCAACTTTCACTTGAGACTCAAAAGTTAGAGCTACTTCTAAGATATATCCAATTACTCTGTACTTCCGAATTGTTTGATTTACGCTATTTCGTATTCTGATAGAATTACAAAAATGTTATGTCAAAAATACTTTTATTATACGACTTTCTTAAACAAAGTAAGTAGACTTTAAAGTGAAACAGAATTATCAAATTATCATTAATCAATAAATAACTTCCCTTTATTTTCATAACTTTTACATTTTTTTTTGGAGACATCTCATATCTTTCTATGAAAAATATAATAGAGTTAATAAATCCTTGATATTGTTTTAAATTGCAGAATTGTAATTTTGTATCAAAGCAATAGTCTCATAAACTTTGAATGTATTGTATGTATAACCAAAGAAAACAACTTTAAAATGTAATGCATATAAGTTAGAAGGTTAACATTGAATTTTGGGATCATGTTGATCTTGAGGCGAGTATTATGATAGCGGTCGATCGATGCGCAGGAGTCGACAGAACCGGTAGCTGGCGCAGCTGCGATGTTAAGACGCGAACAACATTTTGAATTTATATATACAATTACAGTACATTATTTATTATACCAAATATTATAGAACCTTCAAAAAATAAAGAAAAAATATAATAGGAATTATGTTTCGTTTTAATACATTACTTATTGAGGTGTAATGTTATATTGAAAATGTTTTGAATATTAAAATAATATAAATTGCTTATAAGCTGTAGTATGAATTCAATACTATTTTTTCTATGAGAAAGGGAATTATATGAATAATTAAGTATATCTAATTTATAATAGAGCAGTAATTTGGGTATTAAAGCTTGTATATAGCTATTTCTGGTTCTCAAGACATATTTTTGTGATCAACTAGTGTGAATACACCTTTATTCTCAACACAAATGTATAGTTATTTCATCTACGCTACTCCGTTCTGATAACATGAAATTATAATATAGTACCCGAGGTGTTGATTTAAACTTTTTTATTGGATAAAAATAATTATTTTTACAAGGAAAACATGTATGTAGTATTATAAAATAATAGTGTAATTTTAAGCGTAAGTAGTATCTTGAATAACATGTCTTGTATAGGAGAAGCTAGACTAATTTTTAAATATGAATGAAAACTGTTTGAAAGAATAATAGTTGACAATATGTAACAACGAGGTCGAAGGTGAAGATAGAAATTTACACAAAACTTTTATATGTTAAGGATTAATTACAATACAAAATATATAAATAGTACCTTTATAGTAAAAACTATATATTTATATGTATATACATATTACTTTAACTTACTACTATTTGAAAAGCAAATAGTAATTTAAAATGGTTATATGAAAATAAAGATTCCCGTTAGTGCATTATTACAAATAAACTTACAATGTACCGTTCATATGAAGACAATGTGGTTGATATTAGAAAAGAAAATTAAAAAGATATGGCTATAATAAAACATAACCCCTCTTTTAAATATCTACAGTTGGATAATATGGATTTTATAAAGCGAAGTAATTAAACTAGTAATAACTTGTTTGGAATATTATTTAGCATCAAGTTATTATTAAGAGTTGTCAAAAATTAGGAATGTTTTTGTTGAGTAAAATTTATGCTAACTGGACTGATATATCTCAAACTTTATAACTATCTTTTTAGTTTTATATATGATTCATAATATATATAAGAATTGTTGTACAATAGTAACATTAAAACATAATATACCTACAAACCCGGTCAGTAAACTTGAGTAAATATAAAAATATATTTAAAAAATACGAACATAAAGCTATTGTATATGTGTAATATGTTATATTAAGTCGTTTAAAGAATTCAAAATGAATTTTATATGTATCTGTGCTATTAACAAAGTTTAAATGGTTTGTAAGGTAACCGTACTATCATTATCTTGTATATAGAAGTGAATTATGCCCCGATTTTAAGTTACTTTACAAAAGTTACACGCAGTTAAAATTAAAATTGATGACCCTTAAGAGTGTAAGTTGTTGAAAGTTAAAAGAATGACGGATCGTCTATTATAAGTTATAAAGAATTTTAACTTTAATTGTTATATAAACAGTTTGTTGGGAAGAACCTGTTATTTGTTTGGACTTTTTAATAGATTTTTTTAAAGTTTTATCAATATGTCAGAGCGTAACACGAAACTTTGAACGCTATTTATATTTCAGTTTAATAAATTTTACATTTTCTAATACCATACTTTAGTTTCAGTTTGAATTATACACCATACGAGGCGTTAACAGTTTTTCATTCATAATTGTAAAGAGGATTATATTTCAAATTTAAAAAAATCAAATTTATTATGACAAAACAACATACACTGCTCATATTAGTTTAAATTGTACGATATATAAACTTCTTCTACCTGGGAATTTCCCAGCTTTAGCCAGGGTCTGCCTTACATGTTGTGAATAGTTTTTTGGCTATTGGTTTTTACGACCGGCTGCCTGCCTGACATAAACTCTCCTTGGGAATGCATTAATCTTTGATGTCTAAATACTCTTAGAAAGTAGATATGACTCGGAAAAATCATATTGGTACTTGCCAGGATCGAACCCGCGCTTTCATGTACGAGAGGTGGGCCTTTTAACCACTAGGCCACCACTGACAATATATATACTATACATATATAATATTAACTTCACCTATAATTGTGAAACAAAAGGCTATTCCCTTAATTTTAAACAAACACACTCTAAGACAAACAATAATATTAATAATTCATCAAATAGCCTTGATGTGATCTCTTTAAAATATTTTATATTGCGGCCCAAGTCATAAGAAGAAAACGAAATACTTTATAACTTATAATGTACCACTAACATATTTTAAATGTCAAAGTAATATTATTCTCATAGTACCAATATTTTTTATCTTACAATTAACCTACAAATAAAATTGGAGTATATACCTATAAGTATATTTCGTTTAAGTCGATATTTGGTCTAAAATCGCTAGAGCTTATGATTTGAACTATAGGGATTACTCTCAAAATTTATTAGATATGATTGAAAATATTGTGGTTCAGTTCGTTTTATGAGTTTTCATGAATTACATTAATGTACGCTGATGGCAAATTATTGTTATAATAAATATAGATCACTGTGGCCTCAGTTTATTGGTTCACTTATAATATATAAGATTTAGGGAAATATATCATCTTCTTTGTTTTTTTGGTAAACATCCCATTTTATGGCTGCATTAATTCTTGGTTTTCAGTAGATTCCTTATGATATGATATATATTTTCTTTTTGGCAGAACGTTAGATATTTTTAATGGGTATCAGGAAAATTTTTCTTTTTCATCATAATATTATTATCTCATTTATATATATTTTGATTTTTAGTTAATAAGAACAATTTATTTGTTTTGTTTCATTAGCACTTTTTAAAACAACACTTTTTTTTAATTGAAACAATCGCACAACGTTTTGGTGATTTGTTCAAACAAACGTCGATTACAATAGTAAAGTACAGTGATGTAAAAAGATACATTTATTTTAAAAATATATTTATTCAATTAGAATATATAATAT